GTTGTTCATCAACCGCCGATACATCTACGTCTTGATTGATAATTGTTCCACAACTAACTTCTTTTCTCCTAACGAGATTCGTAAGGCGGGCCTACGAATGAAGAAAGTGGAATTGCAGAACCCTTGTCAGGCCTAGGTAGGCAACCAAGACGTTGTCACCTCAACACATGTTGTCAAAGGTGTGCGCGTCACCTTTGGCACTGTCACACATGAGTTGAATTTCTATGTCCTCGACAAGTGTCCCTTCGACGCGGTCATTGGTCTGGGCTGGTTAAAGGCCCATTGTCTAAGGACCACGTGGGCGGATACTCAGTTTGTGGTGTGTGACGCCAAGAGGAACGAGTGTACCGTCTTGTTGGACGAGACGCGCAAGTCCCAGTGACTCTTTTAAGTGCGAATAAATTTTTCAGGTCAGTGCGCACACACAAAGAAGGTGAGCATGTGCATGTAGCCTTTGTAAAGCCTATCCATGTGCCTTCTACTTTTGTTGTGTTTTCTACCTCGAAAAATATCTCTACTTCTACTCCATCTACTTATAATCCAACTACTTCAAATTCGGTTGTTATTGCTGTAAATTCTCAAACCGATTTCTCTCTCCCGACGAGAATGATACTCCACTAGAAGTCCCAGCAAACATTCGTCGTTTACTAGATCGTTTTCTGGAAGTGTTGGTTGAACCTCGTGGACTACCCGAGCGTTGGGTCGAACAAAAGATCGAGATAGTAGGATTGTCCTCCAAAGGTTTGTGTCTACCGTATGGGGCAAAGCAAGTTGGAGGAGCTGAGAATACAAATTGATGGCATGATTGATCGTGGATGGATTAGGCCTAGTGAGTCTGAGTTCGGTGCACCTGTCCTATTTGTGTCAAAGAAAGGAGGCAAACTTTGGATGTGCATTGACTATCGTGGCCTAAACCATATCACTAGAAATAATGCTTACCCCTTGCCACACAAAGATGATTTGCGAGACGCTGCAGGTGGGTGCAAAGTCTTCTCCAAGATCGACCTCAAGTCTGGCTACCATCAGATTGAAGTTGATCCGATCGACCAGCACAAAACTGTGTTCAAGGCACACGATGGGCTGTACGAATTTATCGTGATGCCCTTCGGTCTCACAAATGCACCAGCCACATTTCAAAGTCTCATGCAGAAGGTTTTTCACCATCAGCTCAACAGGTTTATTGTCATTTACCTCGATGACATCATGATTCTCAGCAAGTCCATGGAAGAGCACGTCAAGCACCTTGAGGAAGTTTTTGAGGTTCTCAAGGAGGCGAAGTTGCACCTCAACTTAGAGAAATCCGAGTTTGGAAGGAACAACGTCATCTATCTTGGGCACCGGTTGTCTGCAAACGACCTTGAGCCTGAGGCAACCAAGGTGGAGGTCATACGAAAGTGGCCTTAACCGATGAATGTATGCGAACTACGTTCCTTTCTTGGTTTGGCTTCGTATTACTGGAAGTTTGTACCCAAATTTTATGTCATTGCTCACCCACTGTCGATACTAACAAGCGAAAATGTCACTAATGCATGGTGTGAGAAGTGTGAGACTGCATTTCAAGCTTCGAAAGAAGCTTTGGTAAGTCATTATGTGCTCCGCATTGCGGATTCCAACCTCACATTCGTAGTCACTACAAATTAAGTCAGTATGGGATTGACACAGTGTTGCAACAAGATCATGGTGATGGTCTGCGTCCGCTCGAATATTACAACAAACGCATGCCCAACCACAAGGTAGCTACCTCCACATATATGTGTGAGCTTTATGCCTTGTGAGAGGCGCTAGCGCATTGGAAGCACTACCTCTTGGGTCGTCACTTTAAGGTTTACTCAGATCATCAAACCTTGTAGTGGATCAAAACGCAAACTGATCTTTGTTCGACGCTGACCGGCTGGCTGCATGACATTGATGTATACACTTCTGAATTGAAACACCAAAAAGGTTGTTATAATCGTATTGCTCATGCTTTGTCTCGTCATCCTGAGTTTTTGACTTGCCTCGTGAGCTCATATGACCTCCGAAGGAAACCTGAGAGGATCTGGTCGAGCACACTTCTAAGGATCCGGACCTTAGTCGCATCCTCGAGCAGATGAAGGCTGACACTCATGGTCAGCCTGATTTTCACAAGTGCAGGGGTCTTGTCTTCCGACGCTACGGGAAGTTTGATCGGTTACCCAACCATGCACCTCTCCTAACTCACTTCTTGGATTTGGCACATAGTCGGAGCGGACACTTCGACTTTGAGAAGAATTACAAAAGTCTTTTGCAGCAATTTGATTGATCGGAAATTAAGGGATTCGCTCAAAACTTTATCGCAGAATGTCAAGTCTATCAAAGGACCAAGGTCCATAGGCATAAGCCTTATGGCCTGCTGAAACCGCTCCCCTTTTCTGATGGACCTGGTGAGTTGGTTTCTATCGATTTCACAGACATGGGAAAGGTGAGTGAGGGAGGACATTCACAACTCATGGTCATCGTGGATCGTTTTTCTAAGCTTCTGAACTTGATTCCTTTACCTCCTCATGCACCAATTGAGCTCGTGATTGAAGAATTTCACCAGCGGTACGTTCTGCAGTATGGCCCCCCGAAAACTCATGTGAGTGGTCGGGACACCAGGTTCATTAGTACTGATTGGAAGGACTTCACCTCTCAGACCGACGACATTAAATTGGACATGACTTCTGGTCGACACCCCTTGGCCGAGGAAATCAACCAGACCGTCATTCAACTTCTTCGTGAATTAATTGTTCCCGATCAGAACACGTGCGACAAGGAGTTACACAAAGTAAAAGGGTTGAATAACAACTCCATTCACTCCGCAACTGACGTGACACCAAATTAAATGCAATACGGTTGCGGTTGCACAATCCTCTCTCATATTTGTTCTCCAATCGGTTACTTGGTCTAACGCCTGGCATGCCTGGCTACAATGCCAAGTATGCACGCTTGCTCTATTGCAGCGATGAACAAGCGCCAGCATGTCGTGATCACGCATGCTAACAAGTCGCGCAAAGAAGGGAATGTTGAAGTAGGAAGTTATGTCTGGATCAAGATGTCTGAACTTTCCGAAGAAAAGGGAGTATCACAAAAGCTTCTTCCATTGTACTATGGCCCTTGGCAGGTTCTAAAGGTGGTAGGACATGACAAATTTGGTCCTTCGTAGGTGATCGTCATACCACCTCATCTGTGTACGTATCCATTCATTCACGCATCCAAACTGTTTCCCCTCATTGTTGATGAGACTTTTCCTTTCGGAGATCCTATGATTCCTCGTGTCATCAACAGTGATCACGAAATAGACAGAATTGTTTCCCATGAAGAAAGAGGGAGAAACAGACAGTATAAAGTTCACTTCCTTTATCACATGTTGAATGCGTTCTACTGGATCGACCGAAAAGAACTGCTAAAGAATGCTCCCCGTGTTATTAAAGCTTATGAACGACAAATCGCTGATGGACAGACTGCGAAGTTTTCTGCAACATTTACTCCTCACGGTTATACCGGAACTCTCTTTCTGATCTATGCCTATGATGCATTTTGTACCGACTCTTAATGAATTACTTGCTCGAAGGGACCTCGCTCTTGAGAGGGGGATAATGTAATGACCTGCCAAAACACAGGCTGAGAACACTGCTCATTTCTGGGATTTGCCGCTGGAATGTATGCCTTGCTGAGATTCCCGCATTCTGCTGTAATTTCTAGTCTGTGTGTGTGCATGCCTGCTGGTCTGCGTGCCTGTCTGAGTGCTTGTCGGCCTGAGTTTATGTGTGACCCCCACAGTACTTGTTGGTTTGGAGGCCCCGCAGGGCCGTTACTTACCCGTGGTCTTGACTTTGAGGGTTGCAGTGGGAAAAACACTCAAGTAGCGGGGGTAGGCCCACAACACTTAAGAGCAGCGAAAACACTCAAGTAGCAGGTAGGCCGGTACTACTCAAGTAGTGGTAGAAGTGTTGGGTACTCGAGGCCGAGCAGAAGACGACAAAAAGTTGGCATTTTTGGAGGTCCAGTAGCGGTAGGCTAGAGGTGAGCCGGTACCAGTCCAAGTAGCCCGAGTCTAGGGCGTGTATGGACGATATAAGAGCCTGCAATGATGTTTCCCTTCGAAAGGGAGGAGGTACCGGTTGCTGGGAGGCCGCGCGGCCTGGGAAGTCACCGCCCAAGAGGCAATAGGCTGCTATATCTTCTGGAGGAGCAAGTAGCTTCTCTTCATTTGTGGTGTGCAAGGATTGGCGACATACTGCTTGAGCCAAGCGCTGGACTGGGAGCATTGCCTGGGAGGTTGACGAAGGAGCTGGGCGCTCAGCCTGGCTAAAGCGAGCAGCCCAGCCTGAGGAGGAGGAAGAAGGGGGAAGAGGAGGAGAGTGGCCAGGTACCTACCTGGCTATGGTGGACACCATCTTCATCACCTCGATAGGCGCTGCATCTGGAAGGCCCCAGTTGGGGTAGTGCCGCACCAAGGAAGCTGGCGGCAGAGTCAGGCATGGCCACCTGATGAGCAGCGACATAGCTGCTTTGTGTTGTCCTTTGCACAAGACGGCAAAGCCCTTAGTAGTCCGCCATAGCCTTGGCATGTGAGAGGCAGAAGAAGGGGGGGGCCATGGCTATGCTGGACCTATCATTGTGCTAGTAGTAAGAGGGAACTTCGGATATTGATTCTGGTGCATCCACTCATTGTTATTATTATTATTTGGAAGAAGAATGAGATTAGTGAAGTCAGGGAGGAGGAGGAAGGTGGAGAGAGAAGGGGGATTCATCATTCTTGCTGGTGTACATCGTCTTCTTCTTCTTCTTCTTCTTCTTCTTCTTCTTCTTCTTCTTCTTCTTCTTCTTCTTCTTCTTCTTTCTCTCTTCTTTGGTCTCTATCTCTTTGCAAGTGCTTTCATTTCTTTCGCAATTGTGTGGCATTGTCTTTCCTTGTGAATTTGCACTTTGGAAATGGCCAGGATCGTAACAGAAAACTATAACAGATCTCATCTGACATTTGATCAGAATGGGCTAACCTGCATAGATGATGCAGTTGTGCACTCTGCACAACTTTCCCTGTCTTCCCGTCCATGCGTGCTCGTCCATCTGATCGCTGTTGAGCATCGACAATGCAAACGATAAAATTAATTATTGAGAATTTATTCTCAATTTTGTCACTCAAGCTTTTGACTAAATGAATAAGGCAGGAGTTAACGACCCAAAGCGAAGTGAAAAAGGGATATTCAGGAATCTCGCAGATTTGTTGCCTCAATGCAGCTGCAGAATCAGCCAAAAGTACGAAACAGTCTGATAGCTGAGGGAGCAAATTTTAACCCTGCAGTCTCTGCTCGGGATGCAATCCTGGACGTCCCGGCATCAGAGCATTCCTTGGGTGACTTGCAGGTTGCCTCCCATGGCGCAACACAATGAATAAGGCAGGCGTTAGCGACCATTCAAGCAGTAAAAAGGGATATTCAGGACTCTTGCAGAAAGGAGAAAGGGCTCGTTGCCTGAAGGCAGCTGCAAAATCCGCCAAAAGTAGGAAACAGGCTCATAGCTGAGGAGCAAATTTTAGCCCTGTGCAATAACCCATGCCATATGTTTCGTGGAAATCTGAGGGCCTACTTGGCCGCCCTCAGCCCAGGCCAAAACGTGGAAAAAAACTCCACAAGAGGATTCAGGGCCTGGGCGTGTGACAGTTGACTTTTGTGAACTGTCATGACGCCAACAGTCAAAGTCCAAAGGTACCCAGCCCAGGCCGCCGGTCAAGCACACACACTTGTTTGTATGCAGGTACCCAGACAGCATCAGGTCCAAGGGGAAGTCTGCAACTGTACACAATCGGGGCCCTCAGCTGTGAGGCAATCTGGACGACTGAGGGAACAGGACTCGAGGCCAGACAGCCTCGTCAAATGCTACTTAAAGGCTGGCCTCGAGGAGGTCAGCATTCAGTCTTGCCATGCCGCTTGGACGCTGGCTTGACTTCGACCAGACGCTGGCATTGTTGCTGGCGAGCGCAGGCACTGTGGAAACGACGATGGCATGCTGGCACGTTCTGCATTATTCGCCAGGCATGCTGATGTGGCGCTGCCTCTGGTCTACATTGCATGCTGATGTGGCGCTGCCTCTGGTCTACATTGCATGCTGATGTGGTGCTGCCTCTTGTCTACATTGCATACTGATGTGGCGCTGCCTCTGGTCTACATTGCATGCTGATGTGGCGCTGCTTCTGGTCTACATTGCGTATTGATGTGGCGCTGCCTCTGGACTACATTGCATGCTGATGAGGCGCTTGCCACTAGTCTACATTGCTGATGTGGCGCGTGCCACTGGTCTTCATTGATGAGGTGGCGCATGCCACCTGTCTTGACTGCTGACGTGGCAATGACCACGCTGTCTACATGAGGTGACTGGTTGCGAGGAGGAGGGAGATCGGGATATGTGGATGATTGGGATCTGGTACTCACCTGAGGTTGACGTCGTCACTGTAATCTGCTGTGTCTTCATGGTCTTCACGAGATAAGAGTGCCACGTGGCACTACTGTGTGATCAGGATTATTATACTTGTTATCATATACTGGTTGTTGACGTGGAGAGGGAAGAAGCCCTGAGAAGGAGTGGGGTTTGATGGGATTACTCGTGTGATCTTTGATCATCTCTTCCACCTTCTCCTCTGTCTAATCCCCCTCCACCCTCTTCGTCTAATGGTAATGAGATACTGTTTCAGATACCACTTCACGATAATTGGAGACTTTGCTGCAGGTAATGAGACTACTGGTGCTTGACGACTGATGAGTATCTGCCAGACTGGGTTCATTACACCTGCAGTCTCCGCTCGGGATGCAACTCAGGATGTGTGGAGCGTTCCTTGGGTGACTTGCAAGTTGCCCTGCATGGCGCAGCCCATGTGGGTCATCTGCAAATGACTGCACAAGAAACTGAAGACAGCCCAGAACATTCACGACTTGCATCATCACTAGGCCAAATTACAAATTGTTGACCAGCATTTGAGCCTGCTTGCAGCAGTGAGGAAGCATCCCCCTTTTTTTTACCTTTTTTCTATTTGAAAGGAAATTGAGCCATGCAATTACAGAAAGCAAATTGCATCATCTCATTGAAAGCCAGAAAGCCATGGGCTCGAACAAAGAGTAGAATGCACCAAGTATACACCAATTAAGAGCAAAACAATGAACTCAAATGACAATGTCATCTCTCATCATGCCACCATCATCATTGTATCCAGTGTCGCTCCCCTAACATAGCGCCTGGCGCCCAGACTACGATCAGACCGCACCCATGCACTAGCCTATCCAAACTATGACTTCAACAGGTCTTCATGAAATACAGCTGCCAGATGACGAATGGAGACTTCAGCTTCACCGACCAACACCACCATCACCAGGTAAGCACCCAATCATTCCTCACCCTCACTGTATCCTCATGACCAAGGACTACTTCCAGCGTCCACCGGCAAGCAGCCTGGCTATGGCCGCTGCCCATCCAGCTACGCCCAGGCATCTTTCTGCTTGCACCCCCCCAGGGCAGTCACCTCCAGCCGCCCTGCTCCTAGCGTGTGTGCATGCAGGCTAGCGGCGCAGCAGCGCTCATGTTTGCCAGCACTTTCCTATATGGTTGGCTGGAATCAGCCTGGATGCACGCGTGCGAGGGCCAGTAGCTTCAGGCCCATTCAAGAGTCTGCGCCCAGGGCATCTTTCCCGAATGTGCCCTGGGCATGGTTGGTTGAGGGTTCAACTGCCCCTCGTCACTGCCGCTGTTTACTGCATTGTGATTGGCCGCAAGGACCTTGGCCACATCGTACTCACGAAGCCCAGGGCCTGGCCCCACAGCTGCTGTAACCAACTGTCATCCTTTTTCTGTCTTAGAGGCCCACTGCCTTCGGGCAGGCGCAAAATTTTCAGGTTGGCGGGCGAGGGCCCTTTTTTGCTGCCTCGGCCTAGAAGCTGCATGCCTCAGCTTCGAAAGCCCTCTGAGATAGCTTCAACCTTGTTGCTGTTTCCTTTTGGCTCTATCTCATATCAGTGACGACCTGAGGTGCTGTCTTCATCAGCTCCTCTCTTGTGAACCATTCGTCCTCTTAGGATCGACGTGATGCCTGAATCGGACCCAAAACTGCATCTGTGGTTTTTGCAATGAGCCTCAGAGCTCATCACACGATGGAGTGCTCATTCTAGCATGCATGTCACACATTGCACATAGATGCGAGTAGACCAGATAGCACAGCTCAAGTATCATAACCAGGTTTAAAAGACAGGATCAAGAGTTCAACTGCTCGACAAGATTACAAGTCTTCTTCGATCACCAAGAGTCTCAGCATCTGCGCTCATCAGCGCTTGTTACCAACACCAAGTTCAACACTCTTCAGGTAAGTATCAACTATAGCTCACTCTTTCTCTCTCTTATCTCTCTCACTTGATGGTTCTGGTCTTCTCTCTCCACAGTCTTCTTCTTCTCTCACATGCGCACTCCCTACTACTAACACACACATGAGGATCAACTCTGAATACTACTCACTGCTCTACTGCTGCAAGGAAGATGAGCAATAGCGAACTTCAGCAATCAAACAGCATCATACATATGAGTCCAGATAGTCGTGACATCGAACCAACAGCAGAATTGCATCACGAGATTCACCAAATAAGAACACACCAAGAGTTCATAATTGACAATGCTGAAATAGTCCCATCATCATCATCAACGAAGAACCAGAGTTGATATCCTATCTGGCGCTCGGCGCCCAGACTACGTTTGGCAGATCCTATCTAGCCTATACTACAATGCCGAAGTTGACGACAACAGCTCTCCCGAAGTACGAGCATACAGCGACCAATGTCGCACGCTTCCAGCACCAGGTATGTCTCTCGCCTTACTCACAACCTCGTTCCCCTGCACACAGATGCCACTTGCACCCAAGGACCACCCTGCGCCACACCCAGCTTACAGCAGCGCAGCTCGGCTATGGCTGCCTGCTCCTTCCCTGCTCGCCCGTGAGCGCGTAGGCGCCAGCCAGCAATTAGCACAGCAGCGCTTGCGCAGCATGCAGCCAGCACCCGAATGCCGAATGCGGAGGCAGGCCCTTTCCTATATCGAAGTGGCCTGCCTGCGTCCAGTCCCAGGAAGCTTCCATGCGCCCAACTGCCTTTGGCCTGTGTTCGGCCCAGTACCCGTATCCAGCCCAGGGCCTGCTTTCCATACATTCACACAGGCGGCCCAGGGCCTGGATTCTTTCAACCAACTGGCGCTGCGCAACTGTCTGAATTTCCTTAGTTGCGCAGTGGCCAAAATAAGGCCCTGAGGGCCTCGTCGAGCCTGCCTTCACTTAGGGCGGCCGACAGGCTTCGATAAGGGGGCCAGATGGGGCTCATAGAGGCAATAGCCTCGCATTCCCTCCTCCTTAGCTTCAACGGTCCTCTGATAAGCTCAGTCTTCAACCATAGGGCGCTTTCCCTTCTGCAGAGATTTCTCGTAGTGGGCTACAACCTGCGGAGTGGTCTGCATGAGTTCCTCCCTTGTGAACCAGCGGTCCTCCTTCGGATCAGTGTGATGCCGAAACCGAACGCGGTACTGCAGCTTCAGTTTCGGAAGACGTCCTCTACCTGTTGGTCTTGCCATTGGCAGCTCCCTGTGGTCCATGATATCATCGATGTCCACCTCTCCGTCCATTGTTGGGGGCAGCATTGAGCAGCAAGATGGAAACTGATCAGTTTCTTTGAAAGGTGCAAGTTTGGAGGCGTGAAAGACGGGGTAAGTACGAAGATGACCTGGGATTCGGATTACATAAGATGGCCCATCTGGATCAGTCCCGACAATATCTAAGACTTCCCATGGTCCAAAGTACTGTGGCATGAGTTTACGGGAAATCCCGTACTCCTGTCCCAGTTCTGAGGACTTTACCCAAACTCTGTCCCCAACCTGAAACGTAGAAGGTCGGCGGTGTCTGTTCTCAGACTCTATCATTGCTGCCTGTGCCTTCTGCATCTGCTCTACTGCCTGCTGCACCTGGGTCGCCTGCTTGCTTTCGCCCTCCTCATTGCACGCTACCCACAGTTGCTCACTCAGCTACCAGCGTGCATGCACTGTATAAGCAGAAGACAA